TCCGTATCAGGGGAAAAATACACGGGGGCTCGGGGTGAATCACCCCACCCCCCCCCCCCCCCGAAATGCCAAAAAGAGCCCCCGAAAGTCATAAAAGTAGCCCCCGAAGTATTTTTTCCCCTGATCCGTTTATAGGATAAGGCCCTGGGGCAGCTAGCCATACTCCGATATTTCGGTCGTTTTCCGATCAGAACTAGCCCTAACTATCATTCCAGGATTTTGTTTCAGAACCTGAGACAAAGTCACCCAATCCCTTTAAGTTTCAAAACGTAGACTTCATTGACCTGTACATAGGCTTAGGAACCAGGGGTGCTTGGGAGCACCGCCCCCCCCCCCCCCAAAAAAAAAAAATATATATATTGGGGGGCTCAGATATCATTGAGCCCCCCCCCCCCCCCCCCCAATATTTCGGCCGGGCTCGGTTATCATGAGCCCCCCTCCCCCCTCCCAAATATTTTGTTCGTGCTGATGAGTTGAGGGAAGTGTATGCCGGAGATATTGACTTTGTAGCATTAACTCGGCAGCTAACAAACCTCCAAGACGTGTATGACAATGAGAGAAAACCCATCAAATACATTAAAACAATCTGTGAGATTTTCAACAACAGTCCAATCTATAAGAGATCATTCTCAGAGGTACACAGTCTTCTTCTCATTTACCTTACCATCCCGGTTACAACGGCAACTTGCGAGAGAACATTCTCTGTCTTGAAAGGGATCAAAACTTATCTGATAAGTACAATGACCCAAAGAAAGCTCAACCAAAGCTTAATATTACTCATATATAAATCTCGTACAGATAAACTGGACTATAGTTTGCCCAAAACTTTGTTTCCAGGAACACAAGAAGACAAAACTTCTTTGGCACATTTGTCTGAGGCTGCATGTGCACCTCAAAAGAAGAAAAGTCTGAAATTTTTCGCCGCGATGACATAGACGAGGAACAAAGAATTTATTTCCAGGTGCAAATTAAAGACAAAGGAGGATCTCAGAATTATATTTTTTGGGTGGTGCCACATTTCAGTTTTTAAATATGTCCGTTTATAGGCATTACAATAAAAGTTTTGTTTTTCATGTTCCTGGGTATTATTTTTTCCAAAGGTGTTAAATGTGTGTTATTTTAACACCTAGTACTTTGTCTTACTTAATAAAAATAAACTAAATATCTTACAATTCAACGATTTCTTCAAGTAGGCCTACTTTTATTAATTTCTTCAACTGCTTAAAATTAAGGCTACAAATGCTTTGTTACTGTAGAGCTGTAGTGTGAACAGGCTACTTAGTAATTCACATTTATAGATTGGTGCACATCATTATGCTTGATCATCCTCCCCTATCTGTTTGTTGTCATTCCTCTGTTTAATAGTCATCCTTTATTTGCTACCTATGATATTTGAATATTCAATATTTCCTTTTATTATATAAATAAACATGTAAATACCTATATATGCAAAATAAACCCTGGAGATTTAAAGTTGTAAAGCCCAGGGCAGTTCAACACACGCAATCATGAAATAAGGGTGTCTTTATCGAAGTGTCACTGTAAGTTTAGAACCATGCCCTGTGCCTACCCGCTCAGGCTACCCTACATTCAGGGGCGTCGTTAAAGGGGGGGGGTGTGAGGTTGAAGCCGGTGGGATTTTTTTTATGTCGGTCGGCCAGCAATTTTTTTCCCTTCGAACTGTCACTTTTTATCGGACAAAGAAACATTTTTGAAAATTCAGACAATGATTTAGAGTTGGTACAATGAATCGTCTTCTTTTTCCAATAATTTAATGAAACGTCGAAGCTCCCGCGCTTCGCGCGCGTGGGGGAAAACTGAATTCAGACAATTAGGGTTAAGAGTAGAGAACGGTATACGACAAATCGTCTTCTTTCTATAATAATCTAATGAAACGTCTAAGCTTCCGCGCTTCGCGTGGGACAGGGAAACTGAATTCAGACAAGGATTAAGAGTCGAGAACGGTACAACAATTCGTCTTCTTTTCATAATAATTTAATGAAACGTCTAAGCTACCGCGCGAGGCCTTTCACCCACCCCTACCCCACCTAGGGAGCGCTTTGCGTGTTCTTTAAGTGATTCGCTTGCTCAATACCGCCCTCCCTTAAATAAGATCCTACCTACGCACCTGCATTAAAATATATAGCTATGATGCTTACTAAGTTGACGAAATAATTTGTATATTTATGTCGTCGACGAAAATGACCATTTGCGCATAACAATTTAGCCTTTGGCCTCGGGTTTATAGGGTTACATTTGTAGATATTGGGACATTAAATTTGTCGATAATTGGTGGCTTGTTTTGTTGGTAATTGTTGGCCTCTATACCCCCCGCCCCCCCCCCCCCCCCCCCCCCCGCCCCACTGAAAAGGTCTAGCGACGCCCCTGACGACACATCAGGCCTATACTTGCGTTTTGTGAGAGGCTCAAGTATCCGGGCCAGCTATTTATAGTTGAGTAATTTTTGAAGAAAAACAAAGGAGTACTCGCTCTCCAATCGTATTGGTTATTTGGGAATTTCGAATGTCATCAAATATGTTTTTTTCCTTTTAACACAATGATTGTTTTGTGACTCAATTCAGGCCTGACTAAATATAATTTTTTTCGTAAGGCAACAGACAAGTAATTTAGTCATATACCTGATTAACATTTGAAGATTTCCTACACTGATGCCTGGCCGTGCGTAACCCATATTTGAACACTAAGTTGCACCTGAAATTGCAACATGTGCATTATAAGCTCAAAATGCTTTCTTTCATACAAATACACCAAAAAAAAATCCCAAAAGCTTGAATGCATACTATTTCACAAGATGTAATTAAACAATATGAATGATATTAATGATACACTTACATGTACATGCAAATGCATAATCATTTTTTGCGCTTCTTGCTCCCAGTAAGATAGTTTCCTTCTACATTTAATTTTGTTGCTGTTGTGAGTTTATATTCATATTTTTGTTATCAAACAGGAATAAATAAATGGATATATAAAATTTACATTTGTACAATGATAGTTGTACAATGATAGAAGAACCAATGAAAATCGTAACTGATCTTCCTTAATTCCTTTTCTTTTCTTCCTCTTTGTTTTCTGTCCCTTTCTCTCCTCTTTCCCTTTCACTTCCCTTCTCCTTGTCTCTCTCTCTCTCTCTCTCTCTCTCTCTTTGTTGAGGGGGGGGGGGGGTAGGGGTACAAATCGGGACAAATTGCAACTGATCTCCCCTACCTTTCTTCTTCCTCTTTCCCCCCCTTTCCCTTCCCTTACTTTGCTCTCTCTCTCTCATTTAAGTTTGCTAAGGGAGGCAGGGGCCTTTCGCCCCCTCCCCCTCTCCCCGATCCACACAATGTTGGTGGGATTAATCGCAACTGATCTCTGCCTCTTTTCACCCTTTTTTCTTCTTCCTCTTTTGTATTCCATTTTGGCTCTCCTCTTTCGCTTTCCATTCTTTCTCTCTTTTCTTTGGCGGGGAGGGGGTGGGGGTGGTCAGGGAGGGGGGGGGGGGTAGAGGCAAAGGTCTTTCTCCGCGATCCACATCTTGTCTGCAGGAAAATTGCAACTGATATCCCTTCTTTTCTTTTCTTCTTTTGTTTCTTTCCCTTTCCTTCCTTCTCTCGTTTTGCGGGGGGGGGGGGGGGGGGGGAGGCAACAGCATGGGCGGCAAGGCCCTGTCGGACCCCTTTTTCTTTTCTTCTTCCTTTCCTCTTCTATCTTCTTTCCCTTCCTCTTCTATCTTCTTTCCCTTTCCCTTCTTTTCCTTCCTTCTCTCTCTCTCTCTCTCTTTTTGTTTGCTGAGGGGCCAGGGAGGGCAGGCGAAGGCCTTTCGCCCCCGATCCACACCGCGTTGGTGGGAAAAATCACTATTGATCTCCGTACCTTTCTTTTCTTTCCCTTCCCCTTCTCTTCTTTTCTCTCTCTTTTAAATTTGCTGTAAAAGGGGGGGGGGGGAGACAAGGGCCATTTGCCCCCCCCCCCCCCCCCCGATCCCCAACTTGTTGGCGGGAAAACTGCAACTGATATCCCCCTTCTTTTCTTTTCTTCCCTTTATCTCGTCTTTTCCCGTTTTTCTTTCCCTTCTCTTCCTTCTCTCTTTCTTTTTGCTGGGGGGGGGGGGGGCAACAGCCTGGGAGGTGAAGCCCTTCCGCCCCCCCCCCCTCCCGATTTTCTTCTTTTCCCTTTTTCTTCTTCTTCTTCCTTTCCCTTTGTCTCTTCTTTCTCTTTCCCTTATTTTCCTTCGTTCTCTCTCTCTCTCTCTCTCTCTCTTTTGCTGAGGGGGGGGGGGGGGGTGGCAAAGGCCTTTTGCCCCCGATCTCCTTTGTTCCCCCCTTTTCTTTTCTTCTTCCTCTTCTTCCTTACTCTCCGCTTTACCTTCTCTCTCTCTCTCTCTCATTTTTTGTTGGCGGTTGGGGGTCAAGGCCCTCCCCCCCCCCCCCCCCCCCCCCCCTTGATCCGCGCCGGGAAGACCTGTAGAGTCTAGTGTCATCTGGTAAAGCTGAATATGGGTTATCCAGTCGTTTCATTCATTAAGTAGTCTAGACCTATATTTAGATCTATTTTTATACTTGTATTAAATATGTATAGGTCTACGTGTGGACTAGAGTACGGACATTCGGTGCGGCAGGCGGACTATTGGTGCGAGACCTCTTCCGCACAGATTGTCCGTCGGACATTTGAGGCGCGCACGGAATGTCCGACACGGACATTCTGCGCGGATAAAATCCGCACCGATCGTCCGCTCTCGATCGATCTCTAATAGGCGGACGATCGGTGCGGGTAACATTCTACGCGGTCACCGTACCGGCTGGGAGACCTGACCAGACACCCGGGCCGTGCGGAGAGCCATGTAAACAAACCCTAAAATGTGTACAAAATCACACCTTCCCACACCCGACGATTATTGGACAGTGGCCTTAATGAATTTCATGCCACTTCTACTCCTAATTTCCGTCGACAATGCTAATTCGGAGTTAAAAATAACGAAATAATAGCAAATATCTTACCAGACCGATACAGCTTAAGTTCCACTCCACATGTAGGCCTACCCTGTGACTTGCCTCTACAGCTAGCTCAGCTCTCGACTCGACTGGACGACTCTGTACCAACCATATATATACTGTAGCGGTCACGGTTCGCCCCCTTGCTTGGCTTGACACAGAGTATTTGTCAGGATGCCCGTGTCAGGCCAGGCGCCCTCTGTCCGTTTGGACAAAATATATGCCCGTAGCTTAATGGCTGGCGTTATTTACTGCTCACACGTCTCTCAACAATCATTCGTCCATCGACTGCAATCGGTCACCTAAAAACGCCTTGAGCACATCATCAATCAATTGAACATCCCTCGAGCAGTCAATCATGCTTCGTCAATACCTGTCACTTCTTCTCATTCATTCGTCTAACTACGGTTTCACTGCTCCAATAAATCAAACCAATCATGAGTTGTATGTTGATATTCTTTAATGCGATCCGATCAACATTCAGGGTTAACTCAGCACAAGTACAAGTATAGACTAGATGTAAGACTCAATTAAAGGTAGGTCCAGGCCAACTATCAGGCCAGCCTCGGTGAGGCTGGCCTGTATCGGATACAGTGCAGTGGAAAGCTTTAGATGCACAATCCTGGCCATACTAAAAATTTCCCTATACATAAACGTAGAAAAGGGCAATTATGTCCTCGTTAGTAAAACAACACTTCAACACAACATTTCTGCTAATCCCATAAAATCTTCACATATAATCTTCAGTATAACCCCTTATTCCTGATTAGATAACTACTATACAAATAATATCTCCCAAAAGAACATGATAATTGCACCAACATGATTGTTATAATTATGCTCATTTTCCTTCCGTTTGGTAATTGCTAAATCAACGATGCACCATATTGCTATAGCGCATGCTCGTACAACAAAAAATGCTTAACCTTCGTCCAATTAATCTAAAACCCTGATTTGTTACAATACTTTAAAGGCTAGAGTGCGGACTCGTCATACGCGCCCGTTCAAAGCTCTGTGCGCGCATGGAGCGCGGTCCGCCATTACTAAGGAGGGCACAACTTCGAGAAATACCCGGATGTTCCCTTCGAAACTGTGCTACTGATATGCAATGTGAAGCTTCATTTTTTCGGGTTGATTTATCGGTTTTCGAGTATGAAACGTTATAATTGTGGTATTTTGCATAATGCATGAACCCTACTCATGACTCAGTCATGGTATCTGGTGTAGGTCAAGATTAATTACGGATGTTATGGTGAGGTAAAAGGGACACAAAAAGCTATTTATATTTCAGTATATCTTCAATTTTTCTTCCTCTTTGTCAATATAAAACTGCGATATTATGACATTAAATATTACTTGGCTTTCAACCAATCAGAATCAAGCATTTGGGACTTGTATTTGATATTTATGTCATGATATTAAACAAAGTTTTATGCTACAGGGCCAATGCCGGGGGCCAATGTCTTTCTAATTCAGTTATTATGAGAGCCAGGGTTTATTGATTTAAAATGCTTTAAAGGTAATATATTCATTTTATGTTTATGACTATTATAAACAGATTGATACTTATAGATTTGGGATAGAGATGGGTATGTAGATAGCTAGACACATAAATAGATGGATAGATATATATAATATAGAAGGATAGGTAGATAATGGAAATGCAGATAAAGGACGATACTGAAGATAGGAAGAGGGGGAAGGAAAGAATTATAGGCCTACACATTTATTTAAAAAAATTATGTTATTTACTCATCCAATCATTCATCCATCCATCCAAACATTCTTTTTCTTCTTCTCTCACTCATTTTATATCAAATTCACACCTTATGTCTTTCACCCATTCTCTATAAAATCTCTATTTTTGTCTGAAAGAGTAATTCAATTTTTTACAGTTCACTATAAATATATATGAATATTCTTTAAAAACAGCTGATCATTGATGTAATAATTATTTATTCACACCACTTTTTTTCTCCATAAATAATATTCTCCTTGATACAGTGTATTTCTTATTTTCTTCATCAACCAGTTTTAGAGAATAAACTTATAATTAAATTTGAAGAAAAAAATGAATAAATGAACCTTTTATTACCACACGGCACACGTGTGTTGATATTCTACAGCATAGGCATTTAAGTTTTGACATTTTATCGGACATATATACTGCAATAATACATCACAATTGAAAAGACAAACATTGCAAAAACAACACCTCAGATTTTAGCCCCAAATTTACTGTCACGGATCATAGGCAACACAACCACAACAAATTGATTCGCCACCAAAGACAAGCATTACACATCCCAAAACCACCACAATAACTCCCAAAACATAAATGTCAGGAGGCCAATGTCTATGTGTCAAGATGTCAGCGATAACGAACACTTTATTAACTAGTCTTGGCTCCAAGCGCACGCAGGCGCGTCACATTTACAAATAATACATCGAGTAATAAATGCAAACCAGAAATAGTAATTGAGCATATATATTCCAAGTCACCTGTATTGCTATGAAGAACTATAATTGAAGACTTACATCTCAGGATACTGCACTACACTATTCAGTGAAACCTCATAGTAACATGGTCTTTTGACATCATTATTCATCAGGTGTAATAATAAATTTGAAACTGATTACCCTCAAATGTACACAGTAGATACAACAAGCCAAAGAGTGCACAATCTTATGGGTTTACATCTAGTGACATTATTCCATATAATTTTTCTGTTATCAAATCTCTTCAAAAGCAGTTTTCCATTTTGGAACAAAATTCAAACCTATATGTACAAAACGATCTATGGGTGTGTATATGGTGTGCATTACACAGGCTTTTCAATTGCCACACATCTGTGAATTCTTCTCGTTTATTAAAAATGGGCTCACTTGATGTGAATTTCTTGCTTTTCATCTTTAATGATGTAAATCACTTGGTTGAGAGCAATCCAGACAATGTTATAAAAAAGGTCTACATGTTTATCTCAGGTTATCCATACTGTACCTGCAGAATCAAAGCACATGTAGAGTGCAAATAATTTGCAAAAATTTGTCGCTGTTTTCACGAAGTGACGGTAGTGAAAAAAAATGCATTCACTTTGCGTTACGATTTTCCTCACTACCGTCACTTCCTGAAAATAGGGACGAATTATAGCAACTGAATCAGATACAGCAAGTACAATCATGAAGCTTATAGAGTAAATATTCAAATACAGTGTACCTCACAACAACTCAAAATTCAAGTACATTTTGTTTAACCCCTAATGTAATCAATTCTTCCAAGTTCCACTTTAGTTTGCCTTCGTGTAAAGTTAACAAACAGAAAATTATGGTTAGGTTGTGCAACTGTCACAATGTGTCCCCAAAATTTTATTTCATTACACAGAACAAAAGTCTCAGATTGTTCTGTTTTTTAAAAGATTATTGAAAGCTCTCTCCAGTTTTAAACGGCTTCACAGTCAATCATCCAGTGGATAAGCTATGCAGACAAGAGGCAAAATATAAAAGACCGATCTGTCTTTGTAGTTTGTACGAATGAAGTTCTATGTTTTGTTTTGTTTTTCCTGAAAATGCGTTCTCTCCAAAGTTGTGTTGAAGTAGGTCAAGCTGATCCTGGCTAATGAGCTTGCTTTCGTGGACTTCCTGCAAGAGAGTCCTGGTTTTTCCATCTCTCCTTTTTACCTTGTTTCACCACTTTAAGCTGTTTCTTGGCATCTTGCACTTGCTGTCTGGTTATATTCAGTTTCTAATCAACTCAGACAGAAAAAGAATAGTCATGTTCTTTTGTAATGTCATAGGGTTTCTTTGGAGGCACAGGAACACTTTTGGATGTTGTACATGGTTTTGCTGGGAGTCTTGAGCCATGGGTCTGTTTATAGGGAGGATGTCCAGGAAAGACAGTAGGCACAGCTCTAAGAATGAGATGTGGTGTGTAACATCCTTTCCTCTCTTGGGTGTATTCCTGCATTACAATAAAAGCAAATGGAAACAATAATGAGTTTTTTCTCATAACATGACAATTGTTCTACTATTCATGCTATTTCATGTGATTTTTAAGACTGAAACTGAAAGCAGCTTCCAGCCAAATAAATAAAATAATAATGATGTCAGCAAGTCATAAGCAAATTTGATAGAAATAGTGTAGTGTGCGGTGGGATTTTTAGGCTAGCCTAGCCTAGTTGGATAACTCCTGTGATGTGAAATTTGGCAGGCTAGCCTGGCTTAGACCAAAAGCTTCAGTCTCTCTATATCGTCGGTTGTTCTACTGAGACTGCGTCTGGCTCCACTAGACCTCTGATTATATTATGGGGAATGTCAACAAATGTCAGTTTTATTAAAGAAATGACCCATATCAGATGGTTATATCTGTCTAACCTGGCTTTGCCTTTCGGGCTTTAGAAATTAGAGAGTAGAGTTTAGATCTAGAGTCTAGTCTATAGTTAAAATATAGATCTAAAGAAGTTGACATTTGATTTTTATCTTGAAATTAGATAAGATAAAATTAATTGTATCGTTTTATTCTAGACTTTTCTTTAATAGAATCAAGCTCATGGAGTTATATTTCCGAGTTGGACTCTCTGGCTCTTGGAGTTGCGAGCGACTCCAGCGCAGCAGAATTTTCCCATCACCATCCCCAGAACCTTAACCCATGCCTGCCCCAGCCCGGCGGGCGTGGACTGGCGCGCTCCACTGCTGCAGGAGCTGCGGTGGCTTGTCATGAGACAACCCGGGTACAGACTACAGTCACTGCATAAACTACATTTTTAGCTCTAAAATCTCCTTATTAATCAACATAACATTAAGAAGAACTTACTTGTGAAATATTATGCAGTTCCCTTTCTTTCTTCGGTTCGAACATCCAAATGCAACGCACGAACCTGGCTTCTCCAATTTTTTCCACGTATGTTGTGCACAGTATCTTGTTGGGTCGTTCGTTTTTCTGCCCTCCTTAGTAATGGCGGCCACAGCTCCAGGTCCACACAGCAATTTGAGCGAGTACGCCCTCTAGTGTTATTAAGTATATATCTCTATGGGTACCAACGAACTCGATGCTCTGTACTTGTGTTTTTACATTCGCGCGCT